CACACACACACACACACACACACACACTCACACACACAGAGTCTGTTTGCACCTGTGTCAGTCAGTGATTCGATACTTAATTCAGTCAGATCACTGGACTGGTCAAAAGTTTGGAGTGAGAGATTTGGTAACATTTCTGAAAGAAGTCTCTTCTGCTCAGCAAGACTGCGTTTATTTGATTAAAAATACAGTAAAAACAGCAAAATATCATTACAATTAAAACAGCTGTTTTCTATGTGAATATCTGTTAAACTGATAACATTATAGAACATTATATATTGTAACATTATACAAATGTCACTTTTGATCAATTTAATGCATTCTTGCTGAATAACAGTGACCCCCAAACTTTCACTTACTGTCAGCAAAAAGTTTTTCCCAAAAATTAATCTGAGCTCAAGTGTGTTGTGTCCAGCTCAGCTCACTATTATTTCGGTGAAGTTGAGATGCACTTGTCGATGTCAGACATTCTGATGATTCTGTGAAGTCTTGAGTGTGTATACGTTTTTTGTGTTTTTCAAATTATGAGTATTCTGTTAATTCAAGCTGCATGTAAGCAGGTTTAGTGCAGCGGGTGATTGACAGGTGAGCAGGCGTGTGTCCAGTGATGCTTCTGACTGACTCTGAGAGTGTTTCAGTGATCAGATCAGTGTTTTGTACGTGATTCACACCTGTCTGTCTCTGAACAGATGTTAATACCAGCTGGAAACAGATGGAGAGACAGAGAGCAGACTAAATTAGTCATACAGACAGATATTCAAACTTAAACATGAGATTTAGATGCAGTGTTTTTTGCTTATAGGCTGTAGCTGCTGTTCTTTTTTCTGGTTTGGACCCAAACTGTAGAATTGAGGTGATTGGCTGCTTATGGACCCCTGCTGCCTGGCCCTTCTGTAATCCAGTCAAACCTGCATCTCTAAATATAGCTGCAGTTTCCCGCTGGAGAATTCACACAGTCACACACTGAGCACTGGCTCTCAGACAACAGATAACATCCACTGGATTCTGGGGGTCGCTTGGGCATTGCTGGGTTGTTGCTAGGGAGTTGCTAGGTGGTTGCTAGGGAGGTCACACACATGTGCTGCAGGTGTGATTAATGTTGTGTGTTACAGCAGACAGATAGCAGAGCGACATCTGAATATGCATATGAGCACAATTAGTCTGTCTGCTGTCAGAAATGAGCATGGATCAAATATTCATAGCGTGATGCATTATTCATCCAATGTATGCATAATGCATAATTCAATCAACTACCATTTCAATTACGTTAAACTGGAACTATGAATAAAGAAATGAGGCAGAAAAAGTCAGTCTGATGGTTCAAACTCGCTCCTGACCGTCTGCTGGAGATTATGAGCAGATTATTACTGATCACTGATTGAACGCCCACACTTGAGTGAGTGAGTGAGTGAGTGAGTGTGTGTGTGTGTGTGTGTGTGTGTGTGATTGTGCTTTGTGTGTGTGTGTGTGTGTGTGAGTGAGTGTGATTGAAAGTGTGAGTGTGTGAGCTCAGACCTGCTCAAGTGTCCCAGTTTCTCCAGAAATGGTATATCATCAGGATGTTTGAGCTGTTCGTAGTGTGACAGCATCCGCCATTACAAAACTCGCACTCGCACTCACACACATGCTCAAAAGAACGCACTCACACTCACACGCACTCACACAAAGTCACACATACTCACCACACTCACACCACACACACACACACATATACACTCATTTTCACTCACACGCAGTCACGCACACTCACACGCAGTCACACTCATGTGCACTCACACACACACACACACTCACTCACTCACACGCACTCACACAAAGTCACACATACTCACCACACTCACACCACACACACACACACACACATATACACTCATTTTCACTCACACGCAGTCACGCACACTCACACGCAGTCACACTCATGTGCACTCACACACACACACACACACTCACTCACTCACACGCATTCACACTCACGTGCACTCACACACATTCACTCACACGCAGTCACACTCACGTGTACTCACACACCCTCACACACACACACACTCACTCACACAGTCACTCACGTGCACTCACACACTCACAAACACACTCACTCACACGCAGTCACACTCACACACACACACACTCACTCACTCACTCACTCACTCACTCACTCACTCACTCACTCACTCACTCACTCACTCACTCACTCACTCACTCACTCACTCACTCACTCACTCACTCACTCACTCACTCACTCACTCACTCACTCACTCACTCACTCACTCACTCACTCACTCACTCACTCACTCACTCACTCACTCACTCACTCACTCACTCACTCACTCACTCACTCACTCACTCACTCACTCACTCACTCACTCACTCACTCACTCACTCACTCACTCACTCACTCACTCACTCACTCACTCACTCACTCACTCACTCACTCACTCACTCACTCACTCACACACTCTCTCACACACACACTCACTCACACGCAGTCACACTCAGTCATACTCACGTGCTCTCACACACATTCACACACACTCTCTCTCTCTCACACACACACTCACTCACATGCAGTCACACTCACGTGCACTCACACATACACACACACTCACTCACACGCAGTCACACTCACGTGCACTCACACATACACACACACTCACTCACACGCAGTCACACTCACGTGCACTCACACATACACACACACTCACTCACACGCAGTCACACTCACGTGCACTCACACATACACACACACTCACTCACACGCAGTCACACTCACGTGCACTCACACATACACACACACTCACTCACACGCAGTCACACTCACGTGCACTCACACATACACACACACTCACTCACACGCAGTCACACTCACGTGCACTCACACATACACACACACTCACTCACACGCAGTCACACTCACGTGCACTCACACATACACACACACTCACTCACACGCAGTCACACTCACGTGCACTCACACATACACACACACTCACTCACACGCAGTCACACTCACGTGCACTCACACATACACACACACTCACTCACACGCAGTCACACTCACGTGCACTCACACATACACACACACTCACTCACACGCAGTCACACTCACGTGCACTCACACATACACACACACTCACTCACACGCAGTCACACTCACGTGCACTCACACATACACACACACTCACTCACACGCAGTCACACTCACGTGCACTCACACATACACACACACTCACTCACACGCAGTCACACTCACGTGCACTCACACATACACACACACTCACTCACACGCAGTCACACTCACGTGCACTCACACATACACACACACTCACTCACACGCAGTCACACTCACGTGCACTCACACATACACACACACTCACTCACACGCAGTCACACTCACGTGCACTCACACATACACACACACTCACTCACACGCAGTCACACTCACGTGCACTCACACATACACACACACTCACTCACACGCAGTCACACTCACGTGCACTCACACATACACACACACTCACTCACACGCAGTCACACTCACGTGCACTCACACATACACACACACTCACTCACACGCAGTCACACTCACGTGCACTCACACATACACACACACTCACTCACACGCAGTCACACTCACGTGCACTCACACATACACACACACTCACTCACACGCAGTCACACTCACGTGCACTCACACATACACACACACTCACTCACACGCAGTCACACTCACGTGCACTCACACATACACACACACTCACTCACACGCAGTCACACTGACGTGCACTCACACACACACTCACACACACACAGTGACACTCACGTGCACTCACACACACTCACACACACACTCACTCACACGAAGTCACTCTCACGTGCACTCACACACACTCACACACACCCTCACTCACACGCAGTCACACTCACGTGCACGCACACACACTCACACACACAGACACACGCCGTCTTACTCACGCCCACGTACAC